TTTTTTATTTTTTATTTTTTTTTTTACCTTTTTTATCTTTTGAGGTGGGAAGATAATTGTATTGTTCTGTTGGATTCTTTGACACTTTTTATAAATAAATAATTAAATGAATATTGCATGAGGGAATACATGCTACATTTGACATTATTTTCACGACGTGCTCTCAAATGGCAAAAACCCCTCTACTTTTTTTTTTAATGGCAACAAACTACATGTTTTTGCACATGCTTTGTATACCATGGAAATATTTGTTGTAATACTGAATTAAAATAATTTGTGTTACAACTCCACTGTAGAAAATATTGTACTAGGAAATGAGCATCACCACTGAGAAAAAAAAATCCTAAAAAGTAAAACATTCTGTGTAATGTACAGTAATGTGAGAATTATGTGTTTTGCATTTGTTGGTGTTTTAATGCCATGCCAGCTTCCCTGGCTATTTTCATGACAAATAAGTTAAAAGATCAATTTAAAAACCTATACAAGTTTGCTTTGGATAAAAACTCAAATGGATGTAGGTTTGACTACACTTGACTAAGTGTTTGCGGAGTACTTTTGCATTGAGAATTAAAATGAAAATGTCACAATGTAAAAAAATCTTGATGGTCCTGAAACAGGCTGCATTTTCTAAAAGCAAAATATCATCTTTTATTTTCTTTTGAAATATGAGATGCAAATGTGTTATTGTGATGTTCACACAGATATAGTTTTAGTAACCCGAGTATCTGAAAGCTTGTGTGAACTGTAATGAATGACAGCGGCTCCTAATATAAAGGTGCAGAATACTAGCACTCTTACATTGAGTGTGCGTCCCGTCAGTCCGGTCACGACCCCGTCCTTTACCTCCACCACAGTGGACATGTTCACGTCGCCGCTGCCCGTCGTGTCGATGATGTCCACAATCTTGGGTTTCCCATCTGTTGTGGTCTACATGAAAGAGCATGAGATATTTCAGCATCAGTCTGGAGTCAGACAAATCATATCAGATACACAGCGGGTTGCGTTTGAAAACTTAGATGTTAAAACAGACGCATGACTATATATTTATGATAAATAATCTGTGTTTAAGTGCACAGATCAGCTCACGTTGCCATAGGAGCATTATAGGATCATTCTTCTTTTAAAAATGATGGTGGACAGACAGAAACAAGACATGTACATCACATGAATCGCTCAGTCAGTAGCGCATTAAGAACTGCTGGCAGTTGAGTGAAAGCTCAAAACAGCGGCTGGATCCGCTTACAACTCAAGTTAAACATAACAACTCAAGACAAATCATGTGTTTTTGGTGAACACTAACTATAACACACAAAACAGCACTAACTAGTTGTGCCTCAAAATCAACAGCATGCTATCAAATGCTATAGTGATGTCTATGTAGGCAACTCACTAGGTTTTGAAACACAGCCTTTGTCATATATAAAGGTTCTTTGATATCTAACTGTATAAATTACTAACATATTAATTTATCACGGTATATATCATATAATGTTTCCCTTAAAATACCATGGTAGTTCAAAGAAACGATGGTATTACTATGGTAACGTTAGTCCTTTGTAAATGAGAGCCATTGATGAGGATGACACAGCTTGTCCTTTCGAATATGTCGTTTATGTAATTTACAGCTTTATTCACCTTGATTTACTTCGTATATGTTAGTGCTTCGTTGTTTAAATATGACACCGGAGTTCCGGTAATGTCCAGTATTTGTGGTCCGTTAAACGGTAGGCAACCCCACTGCGGCCTAGTGATGAACCGCAGCCGCGGGCTCAATTTACCTGCATGCCCGGGGCCCCTGGGTCCACCCCGGTGTCGAGGATCGCGATAAGCACGCCTCGGCCATCGTACTCTGGGAATTTAGTGAGGAAAGAGGCAGCACCGGTCTCTTTTTTCGGAAGCAGCCCGTGAAACGGGAACGGATCTTCAGCGGAATGAGCAGACATTACCGTACAGAGCGAGCTTGAAAACACAACACGACAGCGGCAGACCGGTAAAGACACAATGTGCGAGAGAGCCGAGCGACTCTCTTAAAGGTGCAGTAACACTCATCTCAGCCACCGTTAACAAACACATCTCCATCTCAGTTTCATGAGCTTTAAGTTCATAATTCTTGCACACATAATATTTATATACTTAATAACTTATTTAATTACTTATAACCTTATATAAGAATAACTTTAATCATTTAATAATACAAAAACTCATTTCCTACTTTTTTGCAGGCGTTACAGGATTCTGCGCCTATTACTTGAATTATTTTACCTTTCTGGTCATTAAAGCTTGTATTAGTCTCATTTATAAGTAAATTAGATTTATACTAAATAAATAAATAAGTAAGTGTACCAAGCTAACAAAAATATGTTCTAAGAACATTTTGCTAACATTCCCATTAAGTTATGAAAACATTATTTCTGAATGTTCTCTGAATGTTCAAAACATCCAGTTTTTTTTTTGTTTTTTTTATTTAGTTTTTTTTTATTTACAACTGAAATGTTTCAGAAATAAAAGTTTGTATGAATGATGTAAAAATAAAATTTTGGGGCTAACATTTTGAGAACATTATTAAAGACCAAATAACTGACCAAATTAACATTCTATTAACGTAACGTAACCTTGCCAGAACATTAGTCAAAGTTCTGAGAACTTTCCCTGTTACCTGCGTATGAATGCATTTATAATACATTTTAAATGAATAGTTCACAAAAAAATTAAGTACTTCATTCAAAACTATTGTATGACTTCAGAACACAGAGAATATAGAGCACAAGTCGTATGGATTACTGTCAATATACTTTTAAGGCATTTTTGGAGCTGGATAATGTTTTTAACAGAATATGAATGAAGACTAACATGAGGGTGAGTAAACAAGAATTTTCATTTTGCGGGTAATATATTATTTTAACATTGCTAAAATTGCTATAATTGACAGAAAAATGTGCCAGTATAGGGAAATATTCAACAAGACATAAATGAACGTCCAGTTTCACAGACAAGGCTTAATCCTACAGTAGTCCCAAACTAAAATGCATGTTTGAGCTGTCTTAACTGAAAGCAACTTGCACTGACATATCTCATACGTCAGTGCCAATGATTTGTATCAGATGCAAACCAGTCTTTTTTTTTTTTACTAAGGCACATTAAAATAATAATAATAATAATAAAAACTTAAATGTCTCAATTTAACTAAGGTCTCATCCTGTCTTAATCTAAGCCCTGTCAGTGAAACCAATATTCGGTATTCAATTTACAGGGAATCTGGTAATCTGGCAGTGGTTAGTCTGTGAGGATGTGTATGAATTTTACAGTAGTGACAGTAACTGCAATGTGGATTTTTGGAAACTCAATACATGTTTGAAAGAGAAAAAAAACTAATTTTGAAGCCTAATTTCCAAAATTATCATATGAAACATTGGCTGAGTTGTGTGGCTAAATGTGTTCAACCACTAGATGGCTTTATTGTTCCACGATGATTATTATATAGCCCAAAGTGAGAGGGCTTGTTTCCAACATACTGCTTCCATTTGTCTGTCCAGTGCTGGCCTGGCAGTGAGGAATGTCAGAAACCTGTCCTGAGCGACCATGTCTTTTCACATGTGGTAAAGAGCTTGTTCTGCTTTGATGTGAAGTGTGCTTTAAATACAAGCAGCTTTCACTTTGTGTGCCAGTTAAATCGTTCAGAAGCACACTTCGCTAAAAGACTGGTGATTATTGCATAACTGAGTGAGTTTGGATGTGTGCTGTTACTCCACTATTCATTGACTAATTCTCTTTTCAGAGGAACATCATTATGAATGAATCAGAGAACATGTTTGTGTGTCAAACCCTGTGTATTAACATGTACACTATAGCAGTCCAAATTGGGACTCCTGGGATGATTTTTACATTTATGGTGATCAATTGATGATGCTTTTCAGCTACTCAAAAATATACATACAAAAATTGTACATAGAATATAGGTTTTGAAATGTTTCATCATTTCAGTGTAAAAGTTTGGATCAGAAACATATAGATTCATTTTGACTGCTAGGGAATTCACTTCCATGAATTAGAAGAAATCATATTTTCATTTAGTTTCTAATCATCAAATACACAACAAAAACCTCCATCATCATGTTTTCAAAAGTAAAGAGGGTGCTTCTCTTTCTCTGTGCCAAACTGTGCACTTTTGTGTTTTGAAGTTGAAACTTTTGATGTAAAATATTCATATTCTGACATTTCAGAATATGACATTTGACTGCAGTTTGAGACATTGCTGAGATCTCTTCTAAGAACTCTAAAGGAGACACATGTGAGATTACTGTGACATGATAGTCTTTGTTTCTAAGAGAAACATCCGAGAAGCAGGATAATTCTGTCTCAAACATCTCCATTTCTCTATTTAATATAATTGCTGTCAAGGTGAACAATGGAGTTAAATGAAAATGATCTCATCTCTGAGAAATTAGATCATTAATGAGATCTGATCTCCTTTCTTACAGGAGAGACAGGAAAAATAGACTTACAAAGTATCAAATCAGCACAATACTGTGCAGTTTACAAAAACAAATTGCACAATTAGCACAACAATGCACTCGT